CCCTTTGGAGTTTGAAATATAACGGAGCCGAACACGAGCTGAGTCTGGGCTCAGCTCGTGTTCGGCTCGTTTACACCCCTAGGCTCGATCAACCCACACTTCATCTATAACTGATCGAACTGTTTCGCGAACTCCTCAACAATATGTCCTAGAAGTAATGAAATGGAAGATATTTTCTTTGCATCTCCATCACCTGTCCTATCTTGCCAACTCCCCAAGAGGTACCCTTATCAATCGTTGTAGTTGTAGGTGACTGCATAACTGAAGACTGTTGTATGAATGAAGGATGTGGCCTGCTCTATTTTTGTTGTATTTCCACCTTCAAGGCTAAGGTTTGAACATCTCCCAACGACCAATATGGTTGTAACTGCATTTCATTTGCAAGTAGTTGAACTGTGTCGTGAACTTCTCCACTGAAAGATCTCTCTAGTGCAGGTGGTGGAGTTTAAGAAATATGTCCTGACAGTAACGAGATGGAAGGTATTTTCTCAGTATTTTTTTCCTCATCCTTTCCCACTTAGTATTCTTATCACTACCTTCTCAATTTCCTGTCTTTGCAAGTTCTCCCACCACAAGAATGTGCTCTTTTTCAACTTGATGACAGCTAATTTTACCCATTTATCTTCTGACACTTCCTTATATTTGAGATTCGCCCAACATAGTACAACCATTCGATAAAGTCATCTGAATTCATACCTCCATCAAAATATAGTAGATCCACTATGACGTCTTTCATATGTTGGCTCCTTTCTTGGCCTCATCTGATACAAAATCTGGAACCGGTAGACTAGAATTCCTCGTCACTAACATCTTTCCCATGGAATGGATTCAATTTATCGTCCATATCTCCCCTTCAACTCTCCAAATCGCGGTCGAGAGTAATCTTCCCTAGGTTCCATCATCAATCTCCGCGAGCCTCTGTTAAAGACGAAGGAATTCCCGTTGTATCTCGTCTCAGGCAAGTTCTGACATTTATCTCCGTGATGCCATGATTAGGGTTTGGGTTTGGAAGGGGTGATTGAGAAAAGGGTGGATGGGTAAGGTGAATGCTAGGAAACCCTACGATGGGAGGCTATCTCTGATACCAAATGATACTAAAATTTAATCCAAATCACAAAACGGAGACAAATATTATTAATCAAAACAAATCAGATTATAATCATGAATAAAAAAAAACTAGAAAACACAAAAACATCAATATCCACCTAGGGCCAGGAAGGAAGATTTGGGGACAACGATGGTGTTGGCAGGGTGGTTGATAGCTGAAGTATAAGAGAGTAAGAAATAAGTGGCTCGAAGTAGGAGGTTGTCGGGTGACCGGCGGCTAGGAGCAGGGAGAAGGGGACTTGGGTGGTTGGTGGATGGATCTGGAAGGAAAGAAGGTGGTGGCCGACGGCTAGGAGTAGGGAGAAGGGGAGTTGAGTGGTTGGCGATTGGAGCTGAAGGGAAAGGAGGGGTTGTTCGGCAACTAGGAGCAGTGAAAATGTGATTAGGGTGGTTGGCGGCTGGGTTAGGAAGGGAGATGTTGGCCGGCGGCTGGGTTAGGAAGGGAGATGTTGGCCGGCGGCTGGGTTAGGAAGGGGCAGGGAATCAAGGGATAATCATTACCTCGGAGTAGGATACAATCGAAGAATCACTTGACCTTGAATAAAACCCTAGCAAGTGAAGATGCTTGTAGGAAGAAATGTGAAACAAAAATCAAGGCTAAACCCTAACTCAACAAGCACAAAAATTTATAATAGATGAATAGGAAGGTTGGCTGACCGGTCCAACATCCCTACTGAATTGACTCCCCCCTAGAGTTGAACTGCATAGTTCAACCCATACGCACGCCCCGCATCATTTATGTATATATATTATATGTAATTCCCAAACACTCTAATTCGTAAAAATGACATCTCGCTTTACAACCACAATTGAAGCAAAAAGAACTCTTTACACATCGCATTGCGCGTAATGCTTTAAAAAACAATTTGTAGATATGAATGTAAGCATTCTAGCATTTTTTATAAAATTTCAAAACTATATATGTTCTTTGCTCATTAAGCATTAATACTAGTATTAGATATATGAAAAGTAATGCACATAGAAATGGCGACGTTATAAGAGACCAAGTTTTTTATTACGAACAGTCCAAAATTTGCAATGTTTAAACTCTCAATGTTCTAAACTTATTATTAGAATAAAAATTGTCTAAAACATACGAAGTTAGATAAGTTAGTATCTCGTCAATTAGCAACATGCTTAAAGTTGAGTTGAGCTACCTTCATGTGTGGAACAAAAAGTTAATGGCTTTTAAAAAACTGCTTTACCTGGCCAGCAATGAAACCATTGAGAATTATAGGAAGGCCTCGAATCATGGCTTCAGCTATGGTCCCCGGCCCAGCCTGCAGATAAAATTTGTGATGCTTCTTAGAATTTTAAGAAAAAAAAAACTATCAGATAGGAAATTTGTCCGCACAAGTAAAGAAGATTGGAAGATTTACATGCAGACCACTTAATTCCTATGTATTTACATATCTAACACCTAAAATTCATGTTACACATATGTCATCTTACCTATGCATGAAAACATGTATTTTACTTTTTAAAAAGTTAAAACAGCGGTATTTTTTATATGATGTGAAAGATTCAGAAGGTATAAATGTAAAAAGTAAAGTTCAGGTGTTAGATATGTAAATACATAGGACTTAAGTGGTATCTATGTAAATGCCCCAAAAAGATTTACCTTTGTAATTATGCAATCGCATGCACCCATGCATTCTTCCATCTTAGTAACAAAGCCCTTCACCTGGATATATATAAAGTATATAAGAAGCTCACATAAGAAAATAACAGAATCAAGATAAAGAGAGAAAATATTTAACAAGCAGTATTTTAGAGGAACATCATATGGGCTGATGAAGCAAAGCAATAGCGTTACTAAGTTTTAGGCAGAGCATTGCAAGAAATTTTGATGAAGACAAAAGCAGTATATTTGATTAGCTCATTACTGTGTTGTAATTTATTAAGCATGAATTATCCTTAATAAATATTATTTAAACCTTAACTAGTAAAAACTACCTTAAGCATCTTTTTAGTAGACAATAATTATCACAATTAAAGAGCTTATACATCATTGCTAAATTTTAGCTACTAGTATCTAAATGATAGATTACAAATCCCATGACTAATTATCATAAATTAATAGTAATACAGTTTTAATTGTCTTAATAATAATTAATCATAAATTATATAATCAAATAAATAATATTTTATTTCTATTTAATTATTCGTTTGTTAATTATTCCTGGTTTATCATAGTAGGCACAAAATATTAATGTACTTAATGAAAACCTTAATATATTTTTAGCCAGCATAAATGAATCATTAATTATCTATTACTATTATAACATAAATATTAATTGATCCTATACTTAATTTTTACGATTTATGCTTTCATTTGGATAATTTTTGGCTAAGCTAAACCTATGTGACTGCTATCAATAAAGGGATTAGCCACTACCATCCTCCACAACTAGATTCTTACTTGTTAATGGAATAAAAAGGATGATGAAAGTAGTTCCACTCATTTGAGATTCTAATGTGCAGAAATCAAAACTTATTGCTTGTCAAAATTAGGTAGATATTTTAAATGGATTTGCTGGCTGTGCTACTATTGGATAATATTTTATTTTTAATATACAATAATGGACCTTTGATTGTAGTTCCAGCATTAGCCAATCTAGAATTTGGTGGATATCTCACAAGCTAATGTTTCTATGAACCTCATCAAAATTTATTTTAATGATGCTGCAATCGAATAAAAGGGTTTTTTTTTTTATATAGTAATGATGTGTACAAATGTTAGAGGGCTAAAACATGAGCTTTTGTTCGGGTATGGTGAGCGCTCAAACCAAGTACCTTGAATTCTTTATTTTATTTTAAGCCAATGTGCTGCACATTCGAGCACACAATATAACCTTTTGCAATATTTAATATGTTTCTAGATAAACATGATAGAGTGGCTCAAGAAGCAGGCGGACAGGATTGTCATACTCGATTCAGAAGATAGTTTTATTACTAGATAATCATGTGAGAATTTTGAATTGATAGGCCTTAATCCATTTACTAGAACACATATGGCCCTTAAATTTTTATTTAGAGAAATATGCACTGAAGACTAGTTTGGACAACCCTTATAATTATACTAGAAGACGGTCCCTCATGCAGATGTAAATTGTCCAGCATTTACTTCGATCATCTCTTTGTGTGAAGCATCCTCTCCGCCATTCTTCCATAGTGATCCTCGTTTGAAGCCTTTAGCAGCAGCATCTCTTCATAGGTAATTTTCAATATTCTTATTAGAATGCCTTCATAGATTCTTTTAACGTTGGCAATCCTTCTAGGTATACTAGGAAGGAAAGAAGACGGGTTTGACAACTCGTTCAAACAAAAGATCTCAACACTATATTAAAACCCTTGGCACGACAACAAACTTTGAATAATGGTATGAGCTTCGAACTGAAGCTTGAACTAAGTTCAAACAAGACTAGAGTTCTATATCATGATTTAATCTTGTATAACTTGGTTTGAAAAAGTTTTGAGCATAAAATTTTGTGCAACAAATATAATCTCACATGGAAGACCCATTACATCATTAACTTTAAACATAGGTCATCAAGTAGGAATGCACACTTTTGGTGACATTGTTAACGCTTTTTCAAAATATCCATCGATTGAATTTTATCAGTACCACTCTAAGTGGGCAAAAATGGCTGAATTCTTAATTTTAATTTCGTCAAAAGGTTGGTAAAACTCAACCTACTTATAAACTTTAGAGGCCAAATGATTTTCCTCAAGACAAATATTAATTTGAAACTGTAACATTATATTCATCACAATGTAACATATACAAGTTCTATGATGCACCTCTAAAAATACTATACATAAGACAATGACAATATGATTGTGTCAATTTGTACTCAACACTCAATTCTATACCAAGCCTAATAACTCTCATAATTTAACCATAAAATACATTTATAATCATTATTTTCAAATCAACAATTGTGAGTGCCATTGGATAAATCTATATATGTGTAATAGGCCACAACTTTGAGCAAAGTGCCTCTACATCTAGTATTGAGAAATGTTTCATTAACATTTAGCACTAGATAACATGGACGTTTAAAGCCTTGATAAAAGCACCCAAAGGTGAGTAAACCTACTTGAAGCATCCTAACGTATCAATAAGGCTGCAAATGAATCAAGCTAAGTCAATCAGGTGCTTATTAGAGCTCAAGCTCATTTATCAAAATTTTGTTCAAGCTCAACTTAAGCTCTAATTGTGTTTTTAGGATTTTGTTCAAACTTGAGCTCATTCATTAAAATCCACTTCGAGCTCGATTGATATTGAGATTATCAAGACAATTAAAAAACAGCTCATTTGACATAATAAACAAACCTTAATCGAGCTTTATACAAGCAGCTTGTTAGATTATTGAACTTAAATGGTTTTTACACCATAAGTTAAACGGGATACTCGCATCGGGTTTGGGTAAGCTGATTTGAAGACAAGTTAGGCTTCAACAAACTTTTTGATTCATTTAAGAAATGACCAGTTTGGGTCATGCAGGTTTGATCCTAGTCAATTTTAGGTCAAAATTGAACTTGACCCATTAACACGAATTGAAATCCATTGTTTTTGTACTAAATAAATTTTGGAGGATATTTGGCCAAATAAAAATATAAAAGAAACATTTCCCAAAGAGCTCTGTCATTAAGCATATAAAATCATTTTTTTTCTAAAACATTCTTATTTTTTGCCACCTCTTAGTAAAGAGAAACCTTAGTCTCCCTTTGACATATCCCTCTGTTGTATGTTTCATTTTCTTGATCACAAGTTGAGCCTTTGCAAAAACAGTCAAGTAAAAATTGAACAATAAAATTTTAAAAAGGAGTCTTTTTTAAAATGATAATTTAACTAGCTTGAATGAATTTTTAAATTTTTATACATTTAAATATATTTTACCCTCAATAGTTATCATAACAAACACATAAAAACATGTCGTTTTAAAATATAAAAATAACCCAAATATACCTCTAACTAAAGAATCATAATTATTTCTTCCAACCAGGATGATGGAGAGGACTCAAAAATTTTTTTTGCCCATAAGAGGAATTGTAAATCATGAAAAGTGGTGTTAATAAAGATGATACCCCAAATTGACATGTCTATTTAATGTTTGAGGCACTAAAAACCAACTTAGGTGCTAGCTTGTGCTGATTTGCTAACAAAATTTACTTGTTTAATTATAAGAAATAATTCTCGGGTAAAAAATATGATATCCATAATAATAAAATCTTAAAATGCAGCCAAAAAAAGCACATTTTCAAGTTTTGTCACTTCAAATATCAAAATAACAAAACTGTGCCAACTAGTATATCTAAAAACGGTACCTACAAGACCCAAAAGTTATGCTTCCAAGTTTAAACAAATAAATAAAACTTAAGTTCGTAGCTTCCATTACATAATGTTAATATAAGCTTCAATACTATTTATTTACTTTTCTTCATCAATACTCACTTCCTTATCAATAGATTTGTAGACCTTCGTCTAATAATATGATTTTGTACGCTTTAACAATAATATAAAAAAATTGCATCATAGAGGCAAGCGCCAGATGGGCTTACACCAAATGATTCATCTAGATGACAAATTAATAATTGTGACCATTTGGGAGGTGTTTGAAGCATTAAAATCTCGTCTTTCTGGAACTGCCTTTTGTGTCCTTATCAGAACTACCTTTTGTGTCCTTATCATCGCCACTTTTTGGCATTACCATTGTTGGCCCATTTGTCGCTTTTTGCCATCTTCATGAAAGCGAAGATGAAGAAAAATATTACTTTTGGAGAGAAAGAAGAGACTTGGTAAGATTACACTAACATCATATTTTGTAGAAATAACGCTTTTTTGTCCATTGTGATGGAAATATAATAGTAAAAGTTTAATCGAGTATATGGGGGTTAACAATATAATTTTAAATTGAATTGGGATAAAATGCAATACCCTAATTATTACTTTTTTACATAGTAATTAAGATAAAAATTTTATTTTAATTATATGAATGCAAAATAATATATCAAATTTAACATTCAATCTACTCATATCAATGTCAAAATAATTGTTATATCACAGTCACAACTCTCAAAATACTTCAAACAATAATCTTACTAGTACTTAATAAAAAATCCAGCACATAAATCTTATTTATGTTTTAAAAAATAAATAAATAAATAATAAGAGTAAACAATCATTTTTTATCATCAGTTTAATTATTTTTAAAAACAAGAAAAATATCACAAACAAAAAATTGGAGCTAAATAATGAGAACGTGAACCAAAAAATTTCACAATGATCTACTTCAAGATTCGTACCTCTCCACACAACAAAAGAAATTCAAATGAAGCATAAAAATATTCACAGAAAAAACCTCTTTATACTAATTTCCACATCTATAATATTTAAAAAAAAATAAAGCTAAACATCTAGAAGAGCATTAAACTGATAGCATAAAATACCTGAACTGGAATCTTCCAATCAATCGAAAGCAATTTGTTGGCCAATTTTTTATTACGGCCACAAATCACAAGCATCTGGCCTATTGGTTCTCCAAGATTCTCATCATACAATGTCTGCCCAAGCGCACGGGCAATAGCCTCGATAGGACCCATGCCTTCCCCTCCTCCCATCAACAACACAGCAGGTAAGTCCTCATTCATTCCAAATTCTCTTCTCAATTCATCCTATCCATAAGACTAGGAAATTAACTTTAAAAAAATAGAACTTTTATGAATATTTTATCAAGATAGAGATAGAATGAAAAACAATGAATGGCAGAGGGAGCGCCAATAAGTAGACGAAAATCAAGCCTACCTTTGGTTGGATAGGCTTAACAAAAGATGGTCTCACAGGAAGACCATAAACCTTTATTTGGTTAGGCTTTAGTCCGGCTTTTAGTGCTCTTTTTGCCACATCCGAAGAAGGGCAATAACATCTAGTAACTAATTTATGAAACCTAGAAGAAAATTGTAAACTTGATCACTAAACATGTATAAAGAATAATACTAATTATTAGAAGAAAAGGTGTACCATCTAGGGACTAAAAATAAATCAAATGACATAAAAAAAAAAATCAACAAATTTAAGAAGATGAGTTTTTTTTGTTACAAAATTATCCTACCATGTTGGATGACAAGTGCTTAGATCTGTGACTACAGTAGTAAAAACAATCTTGTTAAGAAGACCTTTCGCCCTCAAGACTCGAAGGGGAACATGCTGCATCAGGGGATGTACACTGATGATAATATCTGGCTGGTATTTCATTAGACCTTTTGCAACTTCTCTGTGTGAATAAAAGGAGGTAAATTAGCCAAGCATATTGGTGAAATTTGTTATGATGTGATTTTCTTTAGCAACTTCCCGATGCTGAGGAAAATCTCTAGAAAAAAAAAACTTCAAAAAAATGGCAAATAAGAAATTGAGAGAGGAAAACCCATATTACTTTGAAAATTTTATTGCAAATGAAATCAACAATATAGAAGCTTCAACTAAATTTCTAACTGTAGAACAGTAGAGCATTAATGGCGCCTTGTATTAGTGTATTCAAAGAGTGGAGTTTAGATTAATATAATTAATGATACAATGTCAAGTTAGTTAAGCCATGCCATCAAGCCTTGAATATGTGAATATATAAAGGTCGGAGTCATCAAGTCTACGGGTAAGTGACAAGCAGCAAAATAGGTTTAGCATGTGCTAACATGAATATAGCTAGGCCTTTGAACAAAATAATACTAACTGTAATATAGCTAATAATTTATATCCCCATATCTCAACATTCCCTTCTTTTCAATGATCGAAGTAGAAGAGATAGAAAAAGGAACATTTTCACATTTTACATTGATGGGCAATTAAATCTTCTCAAGTTTGTGATAGAATGTGAATTACATCGTAAGAGATTTACGCTATTTAAAGCTTTGAAAGCCAGCTTGGCAGAATTGTTCAACTCGACTACTTCAATTGAGACTGAGTCACCATTGATTTAAAACCTTAATATAAAGGGAATTTCAAAGTGTCTCTAAACTTTTAACAAGACAAAATTCAAGGTATTGAGATTCACAATAACAACAATAACAAGCCTTTATCCCACTAAGTGGGGTCGGCTACATGAATCCTTTTTCTACATTGTGTGTACTATAGAGTGCCCTATAGAGTGTCACTTAAGATAGAGATTGCAGAAGATTTCTTCAGTCAAAAATAATAAATAAATTAAATTAAATTAAATAAAAGCAGAAGGGCTGAGGGGGGATTGAGTGAAGAGAAAAAATACTACCGAGCTATGAAGGTTGATGTAGCAGCAAAATTGGATTGATGCACTAAACGAGGGGCGGTTCCATAGTAAGTCATCTTCCATAGAGTTCCATGCTTCACCAAGAAGTTATAACTCCTCGGTAACTGGTTAAACGGCCACGGAGTGTGATCGGTCCACAAATCTGTCACAAAAACCTGCATCAAACAAAAAAACATTAATACTCCAAAATAAGAAGATGAAAAATCATAAAGTTCTTGGACTTTCAAATAAAGGCTGATTTTGCCATTGGGAAAAGTGCTATGTGGGGCATCCATCCTTTAATGGTGCCAATGTAATACAGATGCAACTATTGTTCTGAAATTTTGCAAACAAGAACAAAAAAAATATAATTTAACAAATTAAAAGGGTTCAATTACTTTAAAAAAATTAAAGGAATAACTAAGCATGGAATCAAATCTCCAAAAAATAAGTATATCACCAAACAATTACAGAAAGGAAGTGTTATATAAGAAGGCAACCAAGGAGTTATGGTAAAAAACAAATCTTTAAGCGTAAATTGACATCGCCCACCAGCCCATGAGAAAATTATTGGCCTTCTTCTCTATTCTTGAGATATAACCCAACCCATCCGCCGCCTCTGCGTAAAGTATTTGGAAGAAAGACAAGCACATTATAGCTCTATCTACATGTATGGCCAAGAAAGATGACAATATAGAATACATACAGACCAACCAATTATCATTCTTCTAGTGACTAAACAACCAATCTTCAATAAATATAATAGTTTTTCCATTAGTGTGAAGCTTGAGCCATAACCCTCATTCAGGAAATAACCAAAAACAATTTTGATAACTAGCTCAATAAAAATAGCAACAATGCCTATACTCAGCAACTCTATTTAGCACTTTCGTACCAAATAAACAACTGATTAATACTGAAAAGAAAAACTGAACCTTATATTAAAAAGAAAAAAAAAACCTGATACTCATCACCAAACTCTTGATTGAAAGCCGCCTTGATGGCTTCTGCCGAAGCACGGTGTCCACCACCGGTATCACTCATCAAGATGAGAACTTTCTTGGGGGATTCCGCATCTACGCCATTAATCGGCAAGACCTCCTCCTCAAAAACCCCATTGCCATCCCCCTCGAGAGAATTCGTCTCGTTTGAGGGGATCCCGATAGAGGCGAAACTTGCTGGAGCCAACCCGCAGTGAATCTGAAGGAGCCTGTTGTACTCATTCCAGAGGGACTGGAACTTGGAACAGCTGTAGGAAAGGCTGCAGGAGAAGACGGTCTTACGAGTTCTCCTACGCGAAGATAAAGATAAGGGGGGACTACTGAAGTAGAGGAAGTTGGAGAGATGAGATGCGGAAGAGGAAGAGTTTGCAGGGAAAAAGGGGACAGAGAGACTGCAGTCGACTGAGAGTCCGCGAAGTTGGGAGGTGACATCAAGATGGGAAATGGGTTCTTGGGTTATCGTAGATGGGTTCATGGTTGAGAGCACAACAGCTATGAGACAGTAGAAACAAGGTCACGGAGAGCAAAAATTAATAGGCGGAGATGGAGATCGACGGGACGAAGCAGAGCCACAAGATAGATTCCTCTTTTCGGATTTTGGGTGGGGAGGATTTTGAGGAAGATAGAGAGGAGCTTCGTGGCCGGTGGGCACATTCCTATTGAAAGATACGGTTGAGCGACCGGTGATGTATTATTCACATGATATTTGAATTATTATTTTTATAATTATATTATGAAAGTCTGCAAGAAAATTGTAAAAACATATGAATTGCGTGCTATGTAAATGCTCCTTTCGGCTTTTTCGGGTTTGATTCAATTTTGATGCTAAATTGTCAACTTTTGTAATCTCATTTTTCACATGATTTATTGTCTATAACTATTGATATCAAGTTAACGGCCATTATCATCAATAGAATCAATGCATGTTATCAACACTAATATTGAAGTTGAGTGCATGATTGAGATTAATGTCATGCTCATCTATGCTCATGAAGTTAATCCATATCATCTTCTGTGAGCTCAATGTGCAATATTAAAACTAATATTTACATATGTTGTTGTCATCAGGTTTGATGGACACTAACAAGGGAATATCTCGTCATTACTAACAATATTGTATATGTCATCATCAAAAATATTTTTGTCATTTATGGTGCAAACATTAATGTCGGTCATCACCAACAAAGTCAATGCGCACACTGGACCAATACTAAAACTTACACATCATAAATAAGATAGTTGCACATCATCAACACTAATATTGACGGTTTTATTACAAATACAGTTATTATACACTGTCGACACTAATGATGATGCCAATTTATGGTAACTGTCACTGCTAGTCATTACTAATAATGCTAATATGACAATAAACTCAATACATATCATCAACACCAATCTTAATGTCTTATATCGTCATTAAGATTAATGTTCTTTATTAACAACAACATTGATGCATGTGATCAACAACAAAATCACCATCAAACATTATCAATAATATTAATGTTCATCATTTTTAACAAGATTAAAATTAATTAGTGACACTAATATTAATACCCATCTTCACCAATAAAGCTGATACAAATCATTGAAAGCCAATATCATAATGCCATTTGATATTATTATGATTGTCGCCCATTATTAACAATGATATCAATGATCATCATCACTAATCAGATCAATGCATATCATCCACACCAACATCAACACTTATCATTGTCTATTAAAATTAATGCATAAAAATGATGTCTACCATCACTAATAATGTTAAGACGGGTTATTAATAGCAATATTAATATATACATTCACCACTAAACTAGATGATTATCCTCGCCATCAAATCATGGCTAACCAAGGTTGCCAAATTCAATGCTCATCATCTTTATCAAGATTAATGTCATCTTTTATCGTCAATGATCCCCACTTAAAAAGAATAACAATAAAGCAAACCAAAAGTGAAAAAATTTAGGTATTCAAATTTTCCTTAAAAATATATGAGTACATTATATAGTTCATAACTTTAGGTACTTATGTTCATCTAAAATAACATAAGTGAAAATTACATCAAAACACTTGAAGGCAATTTTTCTTCTAACCATGTATAATGTGAATATTATTAATCATATTGATAATATGATTCATCTAGCATAATTATGTAGAACCTTAGGTCTTTGTGTAGGGTCAAATTCTCGCCCTTATTGGTGACCAAAAAAAAAAAATCTCGCTCTTATTAAATAATATAAATAATGAGTATGGTGTATATAAAAGAAAAGATCCCCATGCTTGCATATAGACTATTAAAATCCTAGAAATGAAAATTCAAATAGTTGAAGTATTTAAGTATTGGAACCATGGCACATTTTCATTCCCCACTCCTATTTCTCATTTATAGAGTTGTCAACCAATGGATCTACAATTAACCCTTGTTAATTAAGTGGTGGGGATTAATGTAGCATAGATTAATGACATTGTTCTTTTTAAAGTTGAACATATGAAATCCATGGTCAAGCTCTTAATATGCTTTATCCATCTTCTTTTAGACTTTGGATTCTAGAATTAATCTTAAATCATTTTCAACTCGCAATTGACTAATCTTTGAATCATTTTTGACATATCATCAAATATTCATTAAATTTTCTTTCACCCTCCTTCAGTTTTGATGAAACTATTTTCTAAGTTGATTTAATAAATTTGGGAAATAGTTTAGGAAAAGTTTGATCATATATCAAAGATGTTTTGATCATGTATTAACTTTAAAATTAAGAGCTAATAATCAATGTTGAACACTTATATTTTGACTTGAGATGACCTTATAATCCTTACATTCTCAACAATCTTCTTTTTTTATTAGAAAATAATCAATTTCTATTTTATTATATCAATTCTTATAAATAGAAATATACTTATTTAAAAAAAAATATTAGCAATAATAAAATTATAAATTAAAATAAAATCTAACACAATCCTAACTCCTATATTAGTCAATATCATTCAATAAAAAAAAATAATGGAAATTTTGGGGAAAAAGAGATGAGGTTTAGACCCAGAGGAATTGGGAAGTACTCAGGGGTTGTCTGGTAACAAATTTAGGCTGCGATTTGATCTGAATGTAGGCTAAATCTTGCCAGAAGGTCATTTTGGACAAAATAAAGCCACGAATTTGATAAATTTGAATTTTACATATGTCGATCATAAATCCCAAATTTACTAAATCCTTGATGGAATTTATGGGAGGGAAAAATTGGATGTAGGCAGAACTTCCCAAACAGCTTGAAATATATTTATCCGATTTTGTAAATCGGCTGCCTGATAATTTAGAGGATTTATAGTATTTAGTATTTAATAAATCCGGATTTCGGGATTAATAACTCGAAACTCATCCGTTAAGATGCTGCCGTGTAAAATGTTCCAAAGTAGCCGGGGACTGAGCGCGTAGACCTAGAAGAACGAAGAAGCTCACCGATGTCGGCGTTCTGCGGTTGTTCCTGTTCCGGCGGAGCTGCCGTCTCCGTCGCCAGCTCAAAATCGCTCCGCCACTTTGTTCCCCTAAAGAGATATTCCCCCGTTCTAACCGGCTACAGCATAGAAGCTTTTCTTTCTAAAAGCTCCCGCAAAGCTCTTACATCCCTCGTCGTGAGGGCTTCCGCGGTGGATTCCTATGAGAACTCTTCGGATTTCGTCAAGCGTATGGAGCAGGCGTGGCTTATCTCTCAGGTGCTACTCTATCCTCTTTACCCCAAAACCTTTCTTCATTTTATCTGAGCTATTGAAAATGAGGGAGGGATTGTTATGTGATGGGTTCTGTCTGTATTGATGCAAAATTGGGTGGCTACATATGTTAAAATTTGATTTTTTTTTTCTTTTCATCCATCGATTTTGGGGATTGTGGAGAAGTTTGTGAGTTTTGGTAAGATGAAAAGGATTCTGATGATGAGCTTTCTCTGAGTGGTATTCTGTGGAAACAGTATGCTGCATATGGAGTTTGTGAATATAGTTGGTTCAGCATTATGAAGCCTATTTTTGTATGTGGCAGATGGTTAGTGAGAGCTTAAATTCTACTTTTTGCCCATTTCAATTGGTATTGACTTCATTGTTGATAATGTTTATTTAATAACTCATCAAACAAATGCTATATATATAGTGCCTAACATAATGGATGATTTTAATTAAGAGAAGTCTTGTGATAATCTTGAAATAAATCTTGCAATTGGATTGACGGGATGTGCAAAATGCTATTAATGGAAAAGAAAGGTTCTTAAAAGATAAAAAGACAATGATGAATTATGGAGAAATGTGGATACTGATTGATGTGGGATAGGGGACCTCTATCACCAATTTGATGGGGGGTCATTTGAAAGAGCTCTTGAGGCAATTAGTCATCTTGTAACCCAATACTTGATGATCGGCATTTTTGCGCAAAACATCAAATGAAAAGAAGAAAATGGAAAATATAAAATGGCTAAGGAAATGGAGGAGATTTGAAGATTTTGATCAAGTTCAATTTATTAAGAGTGAATGTAAAAGTTTCTTAGAGAAATATTGAATTATTATTTTGAGGAAGTATCATGTAAGAGATTTGGAAGAAATTCTTCAGATGAGCTAAATAAAATGAATCATGGATGATTGACTCTAAAGTTGAAGTTTAATTAACTTTGAAGTACATAATTTGAAGCTTCAAGTATAGATGAGAATTATTGGTATTCAGAGATTTTTGGGAATTATATAAGTAGCTTCGTTGGAAAATCATTTTTATGAAATTATAGATTAAGCTTTTTGATATGAATTTAAAGAAAAAGGAGTTTTGGAATATGGCAATTATAAGGTATTAACTTATGCGTTAAAGAATGAGACCTCAGGAAAGGATTTGAAAAGTCGTGTGGGTCTATAAATCACTTTATTTCATGCAAAGGTTTTAATATTCATGTTGTTATTAGAAGACCTTACCAATTTTTGCACTAGGGCAATTAATAAAAAAATGGAAAATTTAAATGCATACCACACAATACTTATGCATTTACATATGCCTATAATTCCTCTGTGTCATAAATTTATGTATAAAAATGTGTATTTCACTTTTAAAAAGGTAGTGATGGTGATGTTTTTAATGCGATGTTAAAGATTTGAGTTGTATGCATGTAAGTATGAATACTTAGGTGTTGTACATGTAAATACATAAGAATTGTATGTTATGTATGTAAATTCCCCTAAGAAGATATTATAGAGAATAACAATAGGCTCCTTGTATGATGTTTATTGACATTGAATTCAAAATTGAACTAATACCACATGATTGATTTGTGTGTTTGTTAGTAATACATTGAAGTAATTAAAGATATACATTATTCAGTAATTTTTTACAGGAATGATTTTAATAAACTTACAATCAAATTCAACGTCTCAATGAGTCGAACCCAAAGATACAAAAAAAAAAGAAAGGCTGAATTTGAGTTCCAACAAGCCTAAATTAAGTAACTGAAGTATAATTGAAATCTTTAGGATATCAATTGAAAAGTAAAAAAAAAAATGAATATTGTGCTTAATAGTTGAATCGAGCATATTTAATGACACTTGAGGTTACTCAATTTTGAGATCATTTAGGCACTTACATGTTAAATGAATGATCTATGATATAAAAAAAAATAATATGAGTTGTCCTTCGAATTTTTTCAGCTAAGATAATAAGATGTTCAACCCCAAAAATTGTAGAGAGCTTGGAGATTTGAGTAAATCTAGAGTTATGTTTGATGACTAACACTTACAATCACCGCCAACTACTTTGTTATTTGATCATTATCGCATGACATTTGTCATCCAACAATCATCATTAGGCCACAAATTGATCATTTTCGCTTAACTGTGATCTCATTTGACCGTCCTTGTCTTCTCCAATTAGAAGGGAGAGTGGAATTTTTTATTTTTCACTCTTCCTGACTTTTCCAAATAAAAATTTTGATGTCTATTGTAATTTGAACTATTTTAACCAATTAATAAAGGTTTAATGAGAGCTGAGGTACTAGTTCTTGCTCATTGCTGAAACTTTTCCTGTATAACTATTCAGCCAAATTTGAATGGTCAAAAGACAAATTTTATTCTTTCATATTCACCCCTTCATCATGTGTTTTTTTTTTTTTTTGGGGTGGGTTTGGGGGGTTGCTTTTTGAAAATAAATTTGGTTATGAAGTGTGATAAAGAAATGCTTTTTATGTAATTTTGCAGCAACCAAGACCCGTTGCTTGCAGTTCATGTGCATCAGAAGGGCATGTTGAATGCAGATGGTGTGGGGGAACTGGCTTCTTTGTCATCGGAAACAACGTGCTCTGCGAAGTTCCCTCTAGAAACACTAGCTGCGTCATTTGTGCGGGGAAGGTAACAAGTTTTTGTCATGGAAGCAACACGTTTTAGCATCACAAAATGAAATATAAAAAACATTAAGCACATGTTACACGTTTGGCAACCAAAAATAAATAAATGAGTCAGAAAATAATTACCACACATTTCTTATGTATTTGCATATCTAACTCACAAGTTTTATATTTATATCTATAGCACTTTTATGTCATAAATCTATCCATAAAAAAGCGTATTTAACTTTTGAAAAATTGGTAATAGTGATATATTTGATGTGATGTTATTAACTATTTGAGTGGTATGCTGGTAAATATCTAAGTTAAGGTTTTAGATATGTAAATATATAAGAATTGTGTGGTATGTATGCAAATGCCTCCCTTTTTGGGATGATTTACACACATCCACTCAATGCCTATGTATTTACATATCTAATCTAACACCTATATTTTAATTGTTACTTACATGACACCTTTAAGTTAGAAAGTCAAAATAATAGTATTTTTGATGTGATATTAAAGATTTGGGTGGTATAGATATTGATGTGATATTAAAGATTTGGGTGGTATAAATGTAAAAAAAATAAATTTTAGGTGTTAGATATGTAAATACATAGTAATTGGCTGGTATGTATGTAAATGCCTTTTTTTTAAGATATTAATCGCTTTTTTTTTTACAGCACCAAATACATGGAGGGCATGACATGCTTTTTATGAACACTTTATATTTGGTAGATGGGCATTTACATATATATCACAATAATTTTTATATTTTTTACTTATCTAACACCTAAACCTTCATATTTACATGCACAATGCTCAAATGTTTAATAATATATTTTAAAAAAATATTATTAGCTATTTTAAAAGTGAAATATACTTCTTCATGCTTAGGATAATAATTTAGTGTTTAAATAATGTTTTGATTGCAGGGATCTGTGTGCTGTGCTGATTGTAAGGGCACGGGTTTTCGTGCGAAGTGGCTCGGAAACCCTCCCCCTCTGTAGGACAGATGATTCTGGACGACGGACGTAATAATTTTTCCCTCTGTAGATTCATCTTTTAACGAACAGGATTTTGTCTCCACGGCAAATTTTATGTTATTTTTATAATTATTGAAATGACTCATTTTATTGCCCCATTTTATGTTTTATTTCTAATTTCATAAATTAAAGATGCATACCAATATGTGATCTTATCATATTCATGGTTATGTACCCTATTTAAACTGTGCATCAGTTAATCGCCTAAGCTCATTTGATATACAAACACGAATGCATTGATTTCTACCTACATTATGATGAATATTTTACTTATTTTTTAATATTAAATGTTTATTTGCTTATAATTTTTGATGGGTCTTATTTGATGTTTTCTTTCTTATGTGAGGTTTCTTAAGATTTTTAAAAATTGTTAGACATTCTATGTAATTACATATCTAACACCTAAACACCTAAAATTTACATTTTCTAAAATTTACATTTTACATTTATACCACCCAACATTTTCATATCACATAAAAAATACCACTATTTTAATTTCCTAAAAAGTGAAATACACATCTTCATGCATGGTGAAGGTGGTATAAATGTAAAAGTAGAATTTCAGGTGTTAGATATGTAAATACATAGGAATTAAGTGGGCATGTATGTAAATCTTCCTTATTAAAACTGAATATTGTTGAATGAATTGCCTTGTTTTAATTGTGTTAATTTAGAAATTTTGTAAAATCCAATAAAATTATTTTATTATTGCATAACAAGACTCACTACACTAATTAACCCTAAAATTAACGCTCGATACGGGTGTTTAGCAATAAATAAATAAATAAATAACTTTTTGAATTGTACAATATGAACTCTCCTTCAAATAATCCTCATTGCTATGAACCCCTTTTAATTAAATTAATTTATGATTAAATATATTAATTAATTAATTAATAAGATAGAAGCTCTTTCTTAGAAGTTGCACGAATAAGAATAATTTACAAAAAAAAATTGCTCAAATTTCATGTAACTTAAAATTTTTTTCATAGTTTTCACCAACCACCCAAAAATTGGAAAATTATTGCGTGCGGACATCACACGCAAAATTTGTCTGTCGTGTCCGATCTGGACAATAAAAAATTTTAGAGTGGCCTCCCACTATAACAATAAAAAAAAAATTGTATTTCAATGGTTCAGATTGGAAGCGCTCCAAAAATTGGTGTTGCTTAAGGGAGCAAACCAAACAACAAAAGCTAGATTAAACAAAGACTTAAATATCGACTGAGAATTTCATAAAAAATACGGTAGCCCGATCTTTCACGGAAGTGGAATATAGAGCTCTAGCCTCGGCCATAACTGATGTCCAATTGTTGAGACAACTCATTATTGAATTTGGTATAACTCTAAATACACCTAATCTGATCTGTTGTGACATGTCGATTGCAGCCAACCGTCTTTCATGCTCGGACAAAACACAACAAGATGGGCTATTAATTCATCTGGCAACACATTGAAAAGCAGCAATCTCAGCTCTACTACATCAGCTCATTGGATCAACCAGCAAATTCACCTCCTAAAATTTTCTAATGTAAACGAAAAATTTTAAGAATATATAAACACTATTTTTTAACAAATTTATAGTTAAAATGAGTGTTTAAAAAGATAAATTTAGGAGGTGTTTGGATGCATCAATCATTTACATTAAATAAGATTTAGTAAATTTGATAAATCAAGATTTATCAAATTGAGATGCTTTAAATCAAGAATTGTATTTGGTGTAGTTATAATTAAATCCATGTAAATCCGGTTGACATGTTTGGCGACGAGGTTATGCGCCTTTCGTTCTCATTAAATCCGTCTAATCCACTTCTCAATTAGATTTATTAAATTTGAATTATCGTCAAAATAGAGAGAAAATTGTTTATCGTTGTCATTTAGGTAGATATTTGCTATCAAGATGCCAACATTTGTGCCTACAATTATCACCATTATAGTCATCCATATTTTATCAAGACTTATATTGGCCTTTTCAATTGCTAATATTTTTTGTATGAAGAGAATGACTAACCAATCCATCAATGATATATTGATGGCAACTCCAATGCCTCATAACTCATATTATTTCCATCATGACATGTTTCATTTATATTTCGTGTTTATTGCATTATAGCCATGATTTTTTCAACTACATGAAAAAGCACCCTCTGTAATATACAGCTCATTGTTTGGTAGTCCGATTTAATATTATTTGGAATTGTGTTGATTTAGGACTATTCTAATCACATCGCTTTTATAAAATGTCAAGTCAGTCATAACTGTATGTCGTGGCTGCCCCTTCCGTTGCCACCATACACCATCGGTCATCGAAGCCATCCGTCGTCGCTGCACAATGGATTTTGCAGTGCATTAGCATTGCAGTCATGGACATAAAAGAAGATCATTGGAACGTTATATACATTTTTTATTGCATTTCTTCTATGCTGAATTCCTGTTTAAACAAAACAAATGAATAAGAAAATAGTCCATCTTGTTCATTATAAGTATTCCTCCACACAACACCTATGAATAGTCCATCTTACTCATAAATATATATTAAAAATGTGTTAGCGTGAATCTTAAAGATGTCTCTTAGTAGACTGAAAAGGAGACTTGGTATTGCGGGGCCCACCAAAGACTATCCAGAACCTTGAGCCTAGTCGGCTTGCTCTCACGTACCAGGAGGATAATGCCTCCAAGATGAATAAGCAGAGATAAGCTCCTAAGGAATCTATCTCATCAGGGTCATGCAGACGAATTTGGCGCCCTCCTCCCGGGACAAACCAAATGGGCAAAATGTATCGTTAGTTCCAAACTAGTTGGTACCGATCCCAACATGTCGCAGCCTAGCTTAACAGCCGCTCGACCTAAAGGCCGCCCGACATGATGGCCGCTCAGCCTGGAGGCCACCCAACTTAAGGGCCGCCCGACCATATCCATGGGTGCCCAGGCCATATTTATTTATATTCTACAATACCCCTGTCTTACCTACGTATTCTAGCGGCATATCATGTAATTGTACGATCACTCATTCCTATAAATGGGGGCTCCATTTCATAAAAAAATTTACACAAATTTATTGTTTATTACTGTTATATTGCTCTCTTTACTCTCTCTCTCTCTCTCTCTCTCTCTCTCTCTGTCTTTCCATCTCCCTCTTCAACGCCCTATTGCTTAGGTGTACTCTCGAACAAATTTGGATTCAACATTTTAAAATGTGCATTGAGCATGGAGTCATGCCATCAATAAGAAAATGAGCACAACAAGCACAGAGATAAAAGGATGACCAAAGAGTAATAGCTAACATAGATCTCCCACGAGATGATATCGAGGAGCAGTGAGGGATGAAGGATATGAGGACTCAGATCTTGTAGCAGTGACGAACCGGATCGTTGAAGTCCTGAGAGTCGTCACAGCCCTAGCAAGAAATCACACCACCCATAAGAGCAAAACCAACCACAAGAAATGACGTCGGTGCACAACGACAGGAGGGTGAACAACGGTCCAGAGGGAGCCGACGACTCACAGTGTCAAGACAGCGCGGGATCTGCACAAGTGGAGAGACAATAGTTAGGGCACACTGAGGCACCGTGTCAGCTGGAGAATCATTTCTCTCTTTAGATCTCTGGACCAGATCCCTATGAAAATTCAAATTGCCGGCTTTGAAGGCTTATAAAGGGCGGTAAGACTCCATTGACCATAGCGTTGTATTTGAGTTGGTCGTGTGTTTGCTCAAGATCTCAAACACGTTCAAGTGTCGTCTGCTTTTAACTATGTTGAGGTCTTCATCCCTGAAGTGGTTTCATGCACTTCCAGCTGGAAGCATCAGTAACTTCTATGATTTCAAGAGATTGTTCTCGACGCAGTTTGTTAGTGCCAAGAAACCCACCAAGAGTATACAGTCCTTGTGGCTACTCAAGCAAGATCAACACGAGAGCCTGCACACATTCATTGCATGTTTCCAAAGAAAAATGTTGGAGCTGAAAGACTTCAAAGTCAACGTGGTCATAGTTGCCCTAAAATGAGGCTTGGGGTTTGAGAGGTTTTTTACGACCTCAGTAGAAACGAACTCAAGACTTGGTCGAGCTGTTAGAGAGAGCCAACAAACACTTCCTCGTGAAGGAGAGTACTCCCAAGCGAGAACCATAAGAGTGTCAAGCCCAAAAGAGAGCTCCCCCCAACAACGGGTCGAAGCCATGGGAGAAACAAATGCCTCCCATGCGATGCCGGTTTGAAGACGCCAATCCTCTCGCAGCAACAGAGGGACCAGTCGGTACAACAACACAATGGTAAGGTGCGGAACTGTGATTCGCGACTGACCCTGTACTACGAGAGGCTAACACAACACTATGAAATACCATACGCGAGGCGATTAAGAAGGCTTGTGAGCTACTCCTTTAAGAGTTTCAGTGGCAGAAATTGTGAGTGCCATCTAAAACAAGAAATATTTCAAGGAACCCGCACTGATGAGGGCTGAAGACTTTCTTCAGGATGCAAGAAACTAATGTAAGTAACACCGGGATCACAACCACAACACAGAGGAATGTATGCACCTCCGGAGTCTCATTAAAGAGTTGATAAAGGTCAGGAACCTAATTGAGTTCATGGTCTAGGAACACTTGAGTCAAAGACACAGGAAAGCTCTAGCAATTGAGGCCCCACAGGGCCCCAGACGAATCTTGTTCACAACATCGGGATAGTTGTTGTAGTATATTTGAAACTTAAAACGATCGACGACGAAGTGAATAAAATACTCGAGAAAAATCACACCAGAAAAGAACAGACAAATTTACGTGATTCGGCAAATTGCCTACATCCACGGAGTTGCAGAGGATTTTACTAATTGAGGAATTTACACCGTTTGATCATAACAATAATTACAGGAGAAACTCTCTCAATTTCTCACTCTCTCTTCTTCTCTCTACACCGAGATACACCGAAGAACACACCTTGAGATTCTACTGTAGATATATCGCACGCAAGCTTCAGCCAGATCATCAAGAAGCAACAATAAAGGGAGCTTTTTCTTTCTTGCATCTCACAGAAAACCGAAAAACATCGCATGAAACTGCAGCTACCTGATTCATATCTTTCGGCCCGTAAGCTTTCTTCCCTGTGCTTTGCGATACTTCCTTCACCATCAAACCAACGCAGAACATAAGAAGAATGAGGGTGAGCCGAACCTTGCTTTTCTTCACACTTGAAGTTCTATCCTAGAAGCCAAGAAAAGCTCATTCCAGTATATCATACGTGAAGAAGAAAAAACCACGTAAATATAACCACCTGCAAGTTGCACTTTTATCAAATGTAATTTCCTCTCCTTCTTTAATGATTGCGGGACCCACCTTCCATAGGCAAAAGCAAATAGGCGGGAGTAGTTACAGAAGTATATATTATATTTTAACTGGGCTCCACACTCACAATAGTTTCGACTATTCTTGAAGGAACAAATTCCCCCTTACCCCTTACGGAGCAATAGAAGAGGTCCAAGACGGACGATTTGTGCAACAAATTAAGTTTTTATGGTTGAATCATTAGTACAAATTCAAGTTTGGTAGTTTTTAAATTTGTTCTCTAAAGAAGTGTGATATTATAGCCCGTGTAGATTTTAGTGGTTTGTTTGTTTTGTGAATTTTCAAAACGGTCGTTGTTTGCAAACAACTCGTGTTCGATTTGTTTATTATGCAAACGAGTCAAATATAAACATTTTTTTTGCACTTGATATATAAACAAGCCGAACATGAACAAATATTTGTTTGTCCGTACTCGGCTAGTATTGGCTCAAAATAATCAAATTATATATATATGAACAAGCCGAACAAACTGAACCCGGGCTCGCTCGTGTTCGGCTCATTTACACCCTACTTGTGTGTCCTTAATGAGCTAAAGAGATATGATGTATTGATATTTCCGTATAGTGTGTCATGTTTGATTGATTATAATGAGCTTAAAATAATTATTAAAAATTATGAGAGGTCGAATCTCTTAATATTACTCAAATGTTAGTATTTTTATTCTTAGTCAAACTAAATTTTAAAAACAATTTGGATGCAAACTAAGCTAATTGATGGATTTACATCTTTTAGAATAAATTTATGACATATTATTGGAAAGGTTGTAATGCAAAATCATATTTAGAGAAATTATAATTATAAGTTTTTCTAATTGTAAAACTTCTTACATATTTAACCTTTTTTTTTTTATGATTAACACAAAACCATTGTGTCTATGCTGAATTAGCTTCAATCCAAGTGCAAAAAAAAAAAATTATGCTTGTTAAAATTTTACTCTAAAAAGTTTGCATATGATTATTTTCTTGCTGTTATGCAATGTTACATATTTGCAAAAATAATATTCATTTGGGCTAACCTAAATAATCCTAAATTTTTATCTATTATTTCATTTTTTATTTATTTTGATATAGCATCATATAGAGAAATACATTGAGTAGTAAATATTTTAAAATAGTGTGCTTTATTCTGACAGTCACATAGAAGATCACGTGGCGGTCCTTGATCCACTAGGGGCAGCTCAAGGGGATCTGTATTTATCTGGTCGACTCCTACGGGCCGGGAGAAAAATAGTCCCGAGATGACAAAATTCAACCACGCTCCTAAAGTTTATTGGCACAAAACCTACGAGGATGAATTTGCCAACATTCCTCAACCAAGTCGAGCTAAAGATGAAAACCACTCGGAACTAAAGTAGTCGACCGATGCCTCCCAATCCACCCTTTGGCCATAGCCGCTCGGGTAATGACCCAGTCGACCATTCCTTCAGTCTCCCACAGTGTGACTGCTTGGCTCAAATCCTAGGCTTTCGTCTACATCCAGTCTGACGCCATTTTAGGCTCCTGATCCTATATATATGTATTAACCCGTTCATACTTTTTTAAGAGTACAAAATGTAATTTTATATCTTCATTGCTATAAATAGAAGCTCATTTCAGGAAAAAAAAAGGTTATGCAATTTCACTGTTTATTACTAAACTCTTTCTGCTCTTTTCATTCTTTTCGTGCTTTATTCCTTAGATGTGTCTCTCGGATAATTTTGGATTCAACATATACCTTTTGTGCTTGAACATGCATTTACAATCTTTCAATGAGGAGCGTGACTTGAAAACTTTGGTTGTTGGGAAGATTCAAATTATATAAGAAATTAAAAAAATATATATCTCAAATTATAAAATAAAAGTTTAAAATAAGAGTTCATTAAATTATTGGGGCATTTACATAAATACAACCCAATTCATATGTAAATACCTATCTAACACCTAAACTTTAGTTTTTTTACATTTACATCACATTTAGATCACCCAATGCTTACAAGCACATCAAAAATATAACCATGTTAACCTAAAAATAATGAAATACAAACACCTTTTCTTTCATTGATAAGATGTCATATATGTAAAAAAAATAAAGTTTAGGTGCTAGAAATGTAAATACATCAGAATTGAGTGGTATGCATGTAAATCTTCCAAAATATCGCATGCAATTAAAGAGAAATTAACCATCCGCTGTTATTTTCATTACATATTTCAACAACTTCTTTCCATGAACATGAAACAAATAACATCAAATTATATAATTAAATTATATTTCCCCTGCCGGCCAACATCTATTTAACCATTCCATCCCTCCCAAAATCCAACCTTCGCCGGCCCCCCTTCTTCTTCCTCCTCCAAACTTCTCCCCCCTCTTCTTCACAGTGTACGAAACCATGGCGAAGAAAAAGCAGAGTAGCTCTGCTTCAAACGAAGAGAGCAAAGGAAGTAGCAGAGAAAGCAACAATGGCGTGGAGAAGTTGAGGAAGAGCAGGAAAAGCGTGCCCAGAGACTTTCCCTCCCAGAGAAGCTCCGTTTATCGCGGTGTAACCAGGTTTATTTATTTATTTATTTATTTTTTAATTAATAAATTAATCTCTTCTTCATAATTATTTATTTATTTATTTATTTCTTGATGAATTTTCAGGCACAGGTGGACTGGCAGATATGAGGCTCATCTCTGGGATAAGAATTGCTGGAATGAATCGCAAAATAAGAAAGGAAGGCAAGGTGAATTAATTATATATTTTTTTAATTATTTATTTCTTTTTCAAACCATTTATTGGACAATTTTGGTATAACTAATTTTTTTTTTTTTTTTTTTTTTTTTCTGCGGATGGAATTCAAACGCAATGCAGTTTATCTCGGTGAGTTGATCAGACAAAAAAAAAAATGATTTTTTTTTTTGTTTTGGAATTATTATTATTATTATTTAATTATGCAAAAACAAATAGGAGCATATGATGAAGAAGAAGCTGCAGCCCGAGCTTATGATTTGGCTGCATTGAAGTATTGGGGCCACGACACCACCCTGAATTTTCCTGTATTTTCTATTTTTTTTTTTCCTTCAAATTTTATTTTTTTATTACTTTTTCAAATATTCATGTCATGATTTTTTTATAAATTCGTCTAAATTTCTGAAAAATGGCAGCTATCAAACTATGAAGAAGAGGTGAAAGACATGGATGGGCTGTCCAAGGAAGAGTATATTGGCACTTTAAGAAGGTAGAAGGGACCCCCAAATATGATAGTTGATTGTGCAAAAAAATTATTGTTCAATTATTATAATTTAATTTCATGCAAATTACAGGAAAAGTAGCGGATTCTCAAGAGGAGTATCTAAATACAGAGGAGTGGCAAGGTGTGTATTTATCTTCTTAATGCTATAAACTGAAAATTGATAAGAAATATTTCATGATTAAAAAAATAAAAAAAAATTAGTAAAAAAATAAATGCCTAAATTTTCAGGAGGCTATCTTTGTATCGATCAAATGATAAGTTTATGCACGAAGACAATATTGTTTCTGGACGCCCGTAATGTGGATTCGGCCATGCACATATGCACGGTGGAGTGGTCGAATCCATGCTGTTGTCCAAACATCAGGACAACAAACGTAATATTTTTCTCTCATACACGAGTATTGTCAATCCATAAATATTAATTAATCCATAAATATTAATTAATCAAATAGTCTCTGATTATCTATGTGAGGTGTTTTTAGGCTTATAATTTATAGAAGTGATAAAATAGTCCTCAGATTATTTAAATTTGGGCTGAAATAGTTCCCATAAACAATTATTAAAACTTAAGCACTTTAATTTATATTTTAAAATTAAAACAAATTTAAGTTATTACATAAATAGTTACTCATCATCTAGTCCTTTTCTTATAAAAAATATATATTTTTTACAAATTTAATTATTTATTTAATAATTTGTAGACATCATCATAATGGAAGATGGGAAGCTCGAATTGGTCGCGTATTTGGCAACAAATATTTGTATCTTGGAACATACGGTAAGATCATGTGCTTTTATGAACATATGGCTTTTATATTATTTTAACTATCCAAAATGTGCTAAGATCATGTGCTTTAATCAAATGCAATAATCTTTAGAATTTAGAATTTCCTTCTTTTAAAATTTACATGGAATTTACAGACAAAACCACTAAAATCAATATATATATATATATATATATA